CTCTTTGTATCTCCTTGTGGTCAGGTTAACCACCATGTAATCCTTCTCTAACTCCTCTTAATACAAAGAAGCATCGCTGCTGCATTCATAAAAAAAAAGCTTTGTCATTTCTCACTGAGCACTACAATTTGGCTTCATTTCAAATTTTGAATCACTCATTGGTCAAGGATTATCCTTGGAGTCTTGGCTTCAGTCCTCTTAAATGCACCCTCCATCTCACATTGTATCTCCTTGGTGATAACTTCACCTTCTTTGTCCTCCAATCTCAAATATACCTCTTTCAAACTTGAAAGGTTTTCTGCGCCAAAGAGGCCCTCCAGCATGTTGAATCGCAGCTCTAGCCTTTCCAGTTTTGGCATGGCATTTTCTGAAAAGCTCAGTAATGGCAACATGGGAGCAAAGAACCGGAGAAGCTTAAGCTTCTGAAAACCACCATCTGGAACCATGATCTCCCCATCGGACTCCAATTTGTTTCGTGCAAGAATGTTTACTATTTCCGGATCCTGCTTTTCTGCACTAAATGGGAATGAAAACGTGAGAGAAAACAATGCCTTCATCTTGCTAATCTGATGCAAGTTATCTTTCCGGAGAGCTGTCACCGAAAGTGTTAACTTGTTGAGCGCACCGAGGTTTTCAATCCAACTGGGGAGCTTAACCATCTTGCCAGATAACTCCAGGGCAACAAGGAATTTTGGTGGTGTAGATAGAGCCTCCAATTGTTCAAGAAAGTCTGTTGACTGATCGACAATTATGAGAGTCCGCAGGGAGTAGCCACCAAGGTACTCAATAGAGGATATCAACTGTTTGAAACTTCCATCACTCCCCGTGGTCTTCAGCTTGTAGATGGCAAGCTTCCTTAGCTCGGTCAAATGATGAAGGTCTGCTGATCCTCCAACTTCAACACCTGACAATATGCGTAGAGCCTTCATTTTCTTCTTCTTATTCAACTCTTCAGGAAGCTTCAGTGCTGTGTGTGTTTTTTTATTCCCACCAAGTATGTTAACAAGATGTCCAAGTTGGCACACAGTTTTGGGCATCCTTACAATATCTGTCTCCCTTATGTCCAGAGTCTCTAGATTCACAAGATTTCCAACTTCTTTTGGAAGACATTGGATCTCAGTTCCTCGAAGGCTGAGGTACTTTAGAAGAAGCATTTCGCATATCTCCTTCATATGGTGATGTTTGAAACCCTTGCATTCTTGAAGATCCAGGACTTGTACAATTCCGAACTTGAATGAATGTGAAGGCAGCTGGTTGTTCAAGCACCCAAACATGGTTAGCGACCGGACATGAGATAAGTTCATCTTCTCAGTATCCTTCTCATGTTTGGAATCACTTCCTTGGAGGGATAAACGACGGACTTTGCTGCTAGGAGGTGGCATGAGCCAATTACCACCAACCACAGTGATGAAATTCTCTTCGCTTGCCTTTGCAACCACATGCTCAAGAACCATGTCATGAACTATAAATTTCTTCACCTTCCCGTTGCTGCTATGCTCAACCGGTCGGATGATCTTCCTCGTTATGAGATGATTGAAATATATCTCTGCAACATCCTCCACACTCAATCCCTGCTTCTCGCAGACGAACCCTTCGGCTATCCATCGCCTTGTTAGTCGTTTCTTGCTGATTCTGTGGCCCTTCAGAAATATGCTCAAATACAGGGAGCAAGTCCTTATTTCAGCAGGCATGTCATTGTAGCAATGGCTCACAATCCTACCCACTTGCTCTTGGGTAAGCTCTTTCTCAACATCTTCCTCTTGATCCTTCCTTGACTCTGGAAACAGAGATTTGCAAAGTTCCAACCATGCTTCCAGTGTTTTGCTTGGGTTGCAGGCCACATGACCGGCCATGATAACTATGGCCAACGGCAGCCCCCCACACATCTTCCGGACTTCATCCAGGAATGGTACATCTTTGCTACCTTGAGATACAAAAACAACTTTATTAGATAACTCTGCTAAGGTGTCAACACATTATGATAAAGAGATGCCATGCGCACAGAAGAAATTTTATGAATAAGATCACCTTCTTTCGTAGGTATTGTAGTTGTACGATCAGCTTGGACCAGTGTAGTAACATCCTTGCTTCCTTGGGATTCTGACAAGGCTTGCTCAAATAATATCTTTGATTGCGTATAATCAAGACCTTTAACATTACGAATGTCAATTTCTTCTGCTCTTCGTGTTGTTGCAACAGCATGAAACCGTGTTGTAACTATTATTCTACTGTTTTGACTTTCAGGAAGTTCATTTATAATATTCTCCAACATCGTCGCGGACCAAACGTCATCAATTAAGAGCAAGAAACTGCAAATAAAAGATATTAAATTGGTAGCGAGAAGTGAGTGAACAACAGTAACTTATTTTCTTATTTCAAATAAGTTTATTGCATAATTTCATTATGCAATGCCAATAGTCCTTGGAATTGTGGTTCTGAACTGTAAGTATGTGGAAGAATCAATGCGTGTATCCAGTAAATTTAACAAAGAACATCAGTAACTAAGTATACCCACTATCTCTTTATTTGCTTTCCCGCAGCGCGCCATTAAAAATCACAAAGACTAATATAATATTTTGCATATATTTGCAAAAAAAGGGAAATTAGGTCTAAGGATATGTTTAGACTCGCTTTTCAGTAAAGAAGTCGTTGTAGGTTGTCGCAAAATATATATTTTGTTGACATTTACCATGCACTTTGAGGGCTTATATTGTAGTTGCATGTGCAAGTGCAACTACATGAATTTTACACCCTTCTTTCTACTAATACATTCACATTTAGTTACCTAATTGACTGAAACTACTCCATAATTCTAACACATATTGTGAACTACCTGATCTTCACTTGTGATGATTATCTCTAAGATTGACATTATTAATGTCTAGCAAGTGTTAACTCTTTGTTAAAAGTTTAAACTAATTTTTCAAAATAGTCAATGCTTAAAAAGGTAAAACATAACACAGTCCTAATTCCTTTTGTGGTACCCAAATCTAGATCATACTTCAACATTTCGAATCATTTCAAGTTACCTCTTGCCCTTGAAGTACTTCTCGAGGTCTTTTAGCTTCGTCCTGTCACGTGTTTTCTCTGAGGCGCCAGCGTTGCAGCACTTGGCCATGACAGTTGACGCGCCTTGCCTGAAGCGTGCGAGGAGCTTCTTCTTCGAACTGCCTTGCTGATCATGATTGTCGATCTGTGGATTTAGCTGACTCTTGATGCTGCTGAGGATGGCCTCCAGGTCGGAGCTCTGAGACACCATGACCATGGCACGATGGTCGAATTTCTCTCCATAATTCATGCACAAGGCGGTGGCTATGGCGGTCTTCCCCACTCCTCCAAACCCCACAATGCAAGTCACGCGCTTGTTGAGCTCTCCCATGTGCTTCTCTACTCCCACAGGGTCCTTCATAGTCACAAGCTGAAGACTTGCGTACTGGTTGTCGGCAGCTAAAAATCCAGCAGCGGTGTTGGGAGCATCCGCACTGGCAGAGTCTTCCACGGGGTTGTTGACGCCGTACCTCAGGCGCCGCTCTCCGATCTCCTGTGCACGCACCTTGAGCATGGAGATCCTGGTTGCAACGTCGCGGCGCGGCCACCATGTGATGACCTCATGTATGCTGTTGAAGAGGACGTAGCAGCACATATCGGAGCGGAGGCCGTGGATACGGTCAGCCGAGTCGTCGATGCAGTCTTCAATGTCGTAGGTGATGTCCCGGATCTGCTTCATCCAGTCCTTCGTCCGGTGGCCATGTTTCTTGTCCACGGTGCCAAGGTCACGAAGGAAGGACTGCATCGTTGCGAGCTCGTCGTTGATGTACTGGAGGTCGCCTCTCACGCCCCTGATCAGGGTGTACTCCTTGGCGAGAAGGCCACCCAACTTGGCCAGGAGAGACTTCATCGTCGCCTCGGAAGCGCCCACCACAAGCTCCATGGCCACCTTCTTCCTCTTAGGCTTCTACTTTGCGAAGCAGATATCTGGGCAGATTTGGGCGAGAAATTACAAGGGGAGTGATTCAGTATGGACTGGCACAAGTCTGTAGTATGTGTGAGTGAGAGGGAACGGAGAGCGTGCGCCTAAGTAGTGCTTCTTGGTCTACTTCTTGAACTCCCACTAGTAGAGGTGACGGGACGAGGACGAAGAGACGGAAAAAAAATAAAAATAACAGTTTGTCTGACCTTGTGCAGGGCCACTAGTTTTTTAATACAGCACAGACGCGGACGCTGATACATACGTTGCACATGCACCTGTCGTCGTCAGTCACTTTGCCTTTTGGTCCTGCATCTGAATGCCATGCCCGCGAGCTGCTACATGATGATTGGCGATGCAATTACCGATTGCCTTTCTCGAACGCCGGAAAAAATGGACCGGCCATGTTGGTCGCCGGCCCGCCGTATGAGAGCGGCACTGGCGACTGTTGCTGAGTTCACCCTGAACCTACCTAAACTTGGAGGAACATAAGTATTTTTGTTGTTGTTGCGGGGGAACAGAAGTAAACTGACTGCGTACAAAATATAACCATGCACGCACACTGTGGCAGAGTTCGAGCATGCACAATTGCACATATCCGGACAGTAAATTAAGCGTCCAGCAGCGCTGCATACCAGTAGACGGGCATTAATTCCAGTACCTCGTTCGTTCAGCGGGAGGGAGTAAATTGCTCAAAGCCACCACATTTGCGGCTAGGATACTTCAAAACTACCGCTTTTCCTAAAAATCACAAAAAACCACCGGTTCCATGGCAAGTGAGTATTAACAAAATGCACTAATTCGGAACTCAGTCGGCTTAATAGCAAAACTGACGGGTGGGACCCACATGTCTGGGATGATGTGGCGAAAACTAGTCATAGTCAACGTTGTCTGTCTCACACTTTCTTCTTCCTCCTCAATTTTCTCTCTCTCCCTCTCCTTCTACCTCGCGTCCGCTGCCATCCCGCGACCACGCCTGCGCGCCACCGCTCCGTGCCTGCAGTGCCGCCATCCCGCGTCTGCGCCCGGCAGTGCCGCCATCCACGACCTCCGCTGCCCGCGAGAGCCCCATGTTGTTGCCTCTGCCCAAGCCCGTTGCAGCCTGCAGCGCCTCCTGCTGTCGACCATGGACGAGCTATGGCGAGGGGCGCCACACTGGTGCGGTCGCCGCCGCGAGCATGGGCACGGCTAGCGCGCTCCACCACGGCGCGCGCGGGGAGGGGGCGGCCGGCGCAGATGGCCTGAGATTCGGCCGGCGCCAGGCGGCGAATAGGCGAGGGGCACCAGGTGGCGGGGAGGCGAGGGGCGCCAGTCTGCGGGGAGACGAGGGGCGCCAGTCGGCGGGGAGACGAGGGGCGCCAGTCGGCGGGGAGGCGAGGGACGCCATGTCGGTGCAGTCGCCGCCGCGAGCACGAGCTCGGCCAGGGCTCTCCACCACGGCGCGCGCGGGGAGGGGCGACGGGCACAGATGGCCTCGGATTCAGCTGACGCCAGGCGGCGGGGAGGCAAGGGGCGCCACGCCGGTGCGATCGCCGCCACGAGCACGAGTGCCACCAGGGCTGCACCTGAGATGCACCACCACGGCCCACCGCTTCTGCTGGAGCTCCCGTCGTCGGGAACGGATCTGCGGGGTGCGCGTGTCCCAGTGGGAGAAGGCCGAGGACCGGTTGGATCTCACCATCGAGCCAACGTGCGGAGGAGGGCTCCAGCCAGATCTCGCAGTCGTCCTTCGAAGTTTGGTGAAGCACGACGGGGCCATAAGGCATGTCGGCGACCAGAGAGAGGACGACAGGGAAGGATAAGAGAATGGAGAAGAAGAAGAGGGGAAAAAGGAAGTGAGTGGATGACATGTGGGACCCATGTTCCACCTCAGCAAGGTGTACACATAGACATGCCATGTTGGACCGACAAGTGGGCCCTGCCAGTCAGTTTTTGCTGTTTGTGCGAGCTAATCTATGAATTGGTGTGATTTGTTACTCACTTGACGCAGAACTGATGGTCTTCTCTGATTTTTGGCAAAAGAGGTAGTTTTGAAATACCTTTGCCGCAAATGTGGTGGCTTTGAGCAATTTACTCGCGGCGAGGCGACCGGCATGCAGTTGGACTCGCCTTTCATTCCCATGTTCGTCGCTCGCCAGCGTCATGTTCGACAAGGGATCCGCGTCCATGCACCGGAGTGTTTCAGAAGACTGAAACCAACATCCACCTCAAATGCCACTTTTAACTCCAGTGCCAAAAGAAGGAAGTAGTAGGGTTCCTTTTTGCACTTTTGCCGTCCGAACCACTTGTCCCTGTTGTACACTCTACAGGTTTTACTGGTTATACGCGGTAAAACTTTAGCTTGGTGCACTCGACTTGGTAGTGGCCCTGCAAGGATACTGGTCACCCCGCGGTGCTTTGTCCGGATCGTCCGTTGATGGATGAGCTCATGATGTATGGCCATGGCTTCGAGGGCCTCGGTTTCTTCTACATCGAGGTGGAGGACATCCCACCCCCCTCCCCGTCGCTCCAAGTGATCGTCACCGTCGTGGGTGTGGGGTATCGCTTCTCCGGAGATGATCGAGGCTGAGCTCAACCACCTGTGCTGGCGTGTGTGGGACTAGCAGGTGACTCCAACCTCTGCCAGCTCATTCACTGTGGTCTTCCCGGACGCCATCAGTTTGGGGCTCTGCACCCGCAGCGACGACATCACCGTGGCCCTGAACAAGCTCGTGGTCAACATCTCTGAGCCAAAGGTCGACCCCAAGGCGGTCGTCCTGGATACTGCTTGGATCCTCGTCGCGGGGCTCCCTGACGTGGCCCGGTCCGAGCGGGTCATTCGCAGTATGTCCAAGATCCTCGGCAAGGTGATGGTGGTGGATGAGCTCTCTCTCCGCAAAGAGGAGGAGGTCCAGGTTAAGGTCAAATGCCTCGACTCCGACAAGCTCCCTGCCACCGTCCGAGTCTTCTTCAACAACCTGGGATTCGACCTCAAGATCTTTCCCGAGCCCCCCAACCACGTCGGACGCCCCCGTTTCTCTGATGATAGGCACTTTGGAGGAGGGGGCGCGGACCGGCATGACGACTCCCACTACCGCCGCCCGCGTCCTTTCCGCCACGAGAACCCGGACGACGACGAAGAGCGCTCAGGACGCAGCCGTTCCCCTTCGTGCGACCCCTCCGATCCTCCTCCAAGCCGTGGGGGTGCGGGCGCAGGCGTAGGCCGATCGCGTGGGCTGGCTCCCGCTGACGAGTCTGCCCCCGCACTGCTGCCGGCTACCTCCCCCACCTCCTCGACCATGATGAGCGACATCTCCAGCGTCGGCCTCCTCGTCGTCCCGGCTTTCTCGCCGCGTTCTCCCTGCCCCACCCCTGCTCCTGACTCCCCGCCTTCGGCCCTGGAGGCGCTGCCCCTGGTCCTGGCGGCTCCCCCGACGGCCGGGCTTCCCCCCGTCGAGCCCCCTCTGCCGGGCTCCCCTGGGGGTGCCTCGTCGCTGCCCGCCTCCACCCCCCTCCCCTAGGAGCCCGCCCCGTGGTGGCGCCGGAGGATGGCCTGCCTTCCCCGGACCTGCTCTCCCCCGCCCAGCCGGGGTCCGGCACCTGCTTGGAGTCCCTTGCTACTGCTTCTCCGACCAGACTTTTCTTGGGGGTCACTGCGGACATGGTCACCCCCGTCGCCTCCCACCCGCCTCGGACGGTGTCGTACGCACGCCGGACCTGAGCCTCGTCGACTCCGGTGACTGCCTCGCGCTGTAGTGCTTGTCTCGATGCGGACCGCCCGACTGGCTTCCCGACGTCGTCCATCTTCGAGCGTGCAGAGCTCCGGGCAGCGGTCGAAACCTCGAGTCAGGTGTGACCGACATCCCCTCAAGTTCTTTCAGTTGCTCGTTTTCTACTCTTGAGGCTGTTTCGCTCGGCCACCTCGCCAAGGTGGCCGCAGACTTGTCCGTCGTTTTCAGGGGGACGTAGGACCCCCCCCCTTAGAGCAGATTGCTGCCCTCCAGGCCCGGGAGATCCTTGCTGGAAAACTCACTGAGACCCGGGCTCGTCTCCTCCGCACACCGGCACCCCAGCCACCCGCAGGGGGACCGATGGTGGAAATCTGTGGTCGTACCCTCTCCCGCACTGCGACGCTCAGGGCCAGCAGCGCCTCCTCGTTCTGAGGGCAAGCAGTCCCCCTATGGGGGTTTAGATCTGGGTCCTCTTTTGGAACATCCGCGGCTTCGGCCCTGATGGCCGTCGCCGCCAGCTCATTGAGTACATGCATGACGAGCACATCGACATCATCGCCATCTAGGAAGCCATGCGCATGGAGTTTTCCCTCCCCGAGTTAGATCGTCTTAGCCACCACCTTTTCGCCTGGCACTGGCTCCCTTCCAGTGAGACCACTGGGCACTCGGGGGGCATCCTTTTAGGTGTGAAGGATGCCACCTTTGAGGTTGGCGGTATGGACCAGGGTGATTTTTTTGTTAGCATGGAGCTCTTCGAACGGGCGCTCAACTTCAAGTGGGAGGTTGTTACTGTCTATGGACCGGCGGACCACCGCCGCTCCCCGACCTTCCTCGCTGAGCTGCAATGGAAGGTCTCCGCTTCCACCCTCCCTGTGGTCATGGGAGGTGACTTCAACCTCATCCGCTTTCCGGATGAGAAGAATAACGGCCGGATTAACCGCCCTAGGATGCAGATGTTCAACGACTGCATCGCGGAACTCGGCCTCCGAGAGCTTGAGCGGACTAGTGCCAGATTTACATGGATGAACCGCCAAGCCGACCCGACGCGATTCGTCCTGGACCGCGTCCTAGTCTCCCCGGAATGGGAACTCAGGTGCCCCTTGGCTTTGCTTCGGGCGATTACCCGGATCGGGTCTGACCACGTCCCTCTCCTCCTCTCCACCGCCAACGAACGCCCTCCCATCCCACCACGTTTTTGGTTTGAGCTCTTCTGGCTCAACCAAGCGGGTTTCCACGAGGCGGTCGCGGCCAAGT